TACATTTCATTAGAGATATTATGTCCTAAGAAGTTGTAAGACTTGAGAAAATACACACACAATATAATCCCTTAGACATGGGCACTAAGGTACTACCGTTGGTAAAGTTTAGAAGTTGCAAAGATCTTCTAAATATCGGTGGAGGTAAATAATTTCCAATTTTATAGGTTCTCCCTTTCTGGATTATTACTAATACTTAATAATTTTCTTTGCAAGTCTTTGACACCAAGGTGGATGTTTGTTAGGCAAATTGTTGTCAAACGACTTCCCTGGATAATAATGTAAGTATTGTTTATTTTTGTCAACATCGACCAAATGACTGAAAGTATATCGACACCACAATTTAGTGAACCAATCACATAATCCACTTCAGCCATTTGAAGCAACTTAATTTAATTAGTGCTGCCCATGGCCTAACCTAAACTTGGATGAATTTATCTGTTGGCAGCCCACTTATTACTTCTTATTGGGCCTAACCCTAAAAGCCTATATTCAACCCTTATATATGTTTCTGCCCCTTACCGTTGAAGTGAGTGAAAATACAAATAGCTTTCGTTTTTAGAAAGAAAAACAGTGTGACTAGCTTTGTGCTTTCTGCCTTCATTGTGGTTTTCGCTACTATCTCTTCTCCTCTCCAATCTTTGTGGATGCTTTGTGGCTATAATATTCTTCATCCAAGGTTCCTTTGTAGGCAGTTTCTTTGAGCAACCAGTTTGGGGTGGTGTTTGGTATGTGTTTGGGTTTGACAATTGTCGTGTTCGGTCCAATACTGAGCTCAGTCTTGGTGGAAACTTGGAGTCCATTTCTCTACATCAAACATGTTTAAGTATGTTACCTTTCTCTTACTATTAATCAAAAAAAGTCACTATTTTGAAATTTAAGCTCATGATTTCCAACTTTCACCAATAAATAAAATATTTATTTTAAAACAAACTTACTTATAAGCAGATTTTATTATAACTCTGAAATTTTTCAAATCCTTCTGAATTCAAATTTCAAAACTAAAAAATTAAGGAAAGACATTGTTTGTGTAGGCTGTCTAGGATATCTACTATATCCCTCCAGGTACCACATATACCCCTCAACAAGTGTGTCTAAAGACCAAAATGCTCCTCCCAATAAACTCACAAGACCTATGGTGCGTAACTGTAACAGTCTTTCCAATAATTGGTATTTAATCAAGGGCTAATTCGACTTTACAACAAAAAAATCACACATTGATGGAAAATTTTCATTCTTTAATCTCATAATGAGTCTGCTACAGTATATTATAAAATCATACAGAACCCACATCATTGGCAGAGAAAATTACTTCTTGGCAAAAAAAAAATAATAATAAAAAAAAAGGGACCACACACATAGGCTAAGATTTCTTTTCTAAGCCCAAACTTTTTATCACGTCATTTTTCCACGTCGTGCATAGCACATTCTATCTGCTCTTCTCTATAATTTATTTTGTGTTTTTGTCACCTGCAGATATTCTTAACGAGTTTACATAAATCAAGTTTAGCTACATATTGCCAATATAAAATGTAAGTTTTTTTTATCTCACACTCTCTAGATCAACATATCAATGTAATTTCACAATTACCAGTTTTTTCCCATTTTGGCCAATTCACCTTTTTTTTTATAACCGTGGATGTCCGAACTAGCTTACGCGCACTTCGACTAATCCCACGGGACCCTGAAGTTTACGGCCATGTACTCATCTCAATGATCCTGAGGGACCTCCAACTGGTAACCATTGGAGAGCAAACTCAAGGCCTGACCAATTAAACAACCCCAATAATGAATTCTTCACCACTTGAACTAAAATACTTTAATCCTTTTGGCCAATTCACTTGAACTAAGGTTTTAGTGATTCCTATTTCTCAAAGCATTTCCAGAAAGTGNNTTTCTCAAAGCATTTCCAGAAAGTGAACCAAGACTTAGAAAGCCAACAATTATAGTTGACAAAACCCAAGACAATAGGACGTATTTCAAATCTCACAATTATCTCTTCAAATCATAAATTTGTCATGTAACCAATTAATAATTGCAAAGAGTTTCCTTCACAACACCATTTTAGTGATCAATAAGGATGAGATCAAACTACTATTACAAGATACGATGCAAAGTTCCATTAAGTAATCCATGTTAATCAATAATCCATTTAGTGGAATAAAAATAGACTTGCAAAATCTATAAATGAAAATATTTACACTACAGCGGAAACAACTAAAAGGCATGTGTACTTGTGAATTCTGGAAAAGATGAAGGGCTCTCAACGGTAGATTACTTTCACACTGGTGTACAAGAATAAGTGCTAAGCTGTTGTATTGAAAGTAGAATATTTACATATTAAACCACTTTATCTAAAATCTTGAGCTATTGAGAAGGGGGACAAACTTCTTTATTTAAATTATATCCTCGGATGCTCCTCATATACAAGCCAAATTCATTTTTTCATGAAACCCTTGATGCATGCACAACTTTCAAAAATAGGTGGTGGCAAGATGAGAACTCCGCACTTGTAACACCATATTGATCCACCTCAACTAAAAGCTTAAACTATTAGAAGGGGGATAGATTTGTTTATTTAAATTATGTCTTCAATATTCTCAAAATTGCAACTTTGGGTTCAAGAGGATGCCCAACTATTCATATACCATAGTTGCTTCTATTTCATCAGCAATCGAACAAAAAATATTTTTTCTCAAGATAAAGTAAAATAGTACTTCAGCTTATATACCAATGGCAGTGTAACTTAATTGACAAATTGCATACCACGATGTATGTCGGATGTCGCAGCTGCAGTGGCATCAAAAATGACGGTAACAGTCTGATAATCCAATGCTACTGCATCAAAGACCGTCTGCCGGATGCAATTTGGAGTTTGGACACCTATATAGGTGAACCGAGGATTTAAAATCTAACTTCTATTACATGTAGAAGAAGCCAACTCAAAAACTGATAAGAGCACAGAAATTATTTACCTGTGATGACTAAATTACTAATTCTTGCACCCTGAAGATACAAATGAAGGTGTGTGTTAAAAAATGCACTAAACCGTGTCTTGACCAGCTTGTAGTCGTCATCTTTGATTACTAGCCCACCAACCAATTCTGCACCCACATTACCCTTAGAAGTTGGTTTTGGTTTTCCAGCAGAATACAAGTGCCGACGAAACAATTCAACATCTCTGCCCAAAGGATCGTGCTCACGAACAACCTAAGCCCCATTTTCAATTGCCATTTCAAACATTATTATTCATGACATTTCCAACAATATTCATAGACTTCAAGAAGTTGTTTTCCTACTTGATTAAAATCACAAATGTGTAATGATCAAGAAAAATCAAAATGCAAAACATAGAGCCTCTGACTTATGTAGGATCCAACTTCAATCTGAAAATACCATTTCAAAAATCAAATGCAATCAGACACTTATTCTTTGCTTTTGCCTTTCAGGCAGGGGACTCAAAGATTATCACATATTCATTAAAACCAGATATAGCTTAATTCTAATTCTATCTATTCCCGTTAAGGGAGAAAAATACGGCACGCCAAAAGTGACAAAAATATAACATATATACAATATTCATGATATCTCAACTCCAGAACTCTTGAACCGGCAATCTAAAAGCTAAAGCAATACAATTTTCATGAAAGTGGCGCCAAAACTTCAACTCAAGAACTTGGCCAACTTCAATACCATATTGAACCACCTCCTGTAAACTATTGCCATTTACTTATTTCAAATTGAGTCTTCAACATAAACAGATAAAATTAGAGGGTACCCATATAATGGGAATGCCACGGCTTCTAGCAATCTCAACAGCCTTTATAACATTAGGCACAATATCTTGGCCACCCATCACATGCATCGGGCCACCTGGTAGTATAAAATCATTCTGAACAGAAAAGTGCCAAACCAAAAGATTTCAGTATCAAATTCATCAAAAATAATAACAGAGCAGGAACCCATAAATATTTATTACAATTTCAATAAAATATCAAACTATTAGCCAAAATGAAAATATACGAATAAAAGTGTACCAGTTCATAATAAATTCGGAAGAACAAAATAATTATAATTTTTTTGATAGAATGCAAAGTTGAACTTGAAAAGAAAAGAAAAAAGAGAGGTGGGATCGATGAGGACCTGCATGTCAATGACAAGAAGAGCAGTGGTCTTCCACTTGGGGTCAGTTGCGGCCATTTTTAGGCTTGTAAGGGCTCTGTTTACCATCCGATGATCTTCGAAGTGGATAGTGTAATTTTCCTCTTCAGGTCCTCAATCTTTTATAAGTGCGACAATTATATCTTAACCTTTTAACATTTTTCGCACAATATTCTCAATTGCTAGACTTAGGTTTATTTAGCCCTCGTTTGATGCACATTTTTAGAAAAAGAATGCATTTTTACTGTTATTGTGATGGGGAATATGTGGCTGAAAAAGAAGGAAAAGTTATTGATATGATGGAAAATATTATTTTATTGAAAAATGTATGGTTGAAAATGAGTAGAAGAATGAGAATGAAAAAATTAATGTGACTCAAACATGACCTTAAATGTTAAATGGTAACATGATACATACATTTTGGCCCAAACAGGGCTCAAACATGGGCTAACTTACAATAAAAATCACAAACTGTTACTTATTATCGTATTTATATTACTAACTTTTTCCATCACATTCTTTTTATTAATCTTCTATGATTAGTACATATTATCACTGATGACGAATTTTGTCTAAAATTTTTTGTTAGCGTGCCATAAAGTAAGAGATATATATTTAATCTCACCTTTTTTTTATCCTCATTTAAAGATACGAGAGACAAATAAGTATTTTTATTCCTCGTAACATATTTTTTGAACACATTGTCATTAAAGACAATATGTGCTAATTAATGAAAAGTTAAGAATAAGAATGTAATGACAAAATCCGAAGACACGAGTATGACTAGAAATTAAGACCAAAGTCTTTAAAACAATTAAAATGTGATATACTTATAAGAAAATATGGTATTAACCACCCTATACATTATAAACAAGTAAAAAGAAATGAACAATTTTTCCTTTGGAGATATGAATGGTACATATGAAAGATTTAAATTGTCGACATAAATGAGTGATAGCCCGTATAGAAAACATGAGGTAACAATTAAAAGGATTAATAATAAAGCAATTCTCATTTTCTTCTAAAGATTGAAAAATACCATCTTTTTTAATCTTTCAATTTTTACCCTATAGCATGGCGGCAATGATGGTTGCGAAAGGTGCCGATTGGAGATGTTTGAGTTGTTCTTTGTTAGGATATGTTGAGTTATGATAGAGGTAATATGTGACTTACCTACAACTAATACGTGTGTTACTTTCATGTTGAGGGCGGCATTGTTCTCGATCGTGGCAATGATAGTGGTAGAAAATTGATTGATGGTGTTTGAGTTGTTTTTTACTAGGATCGAATTATGATGACGAAAAAAGTGTGTTATCTTACAAGTAACACGTGTCGCCTTAATATTGATGGTGATATTGATAGGATTTGAGTTCATATAGGGTTTGTTCGACCCCATTTATACTAAGAACAAATTTTTTAATAGCAATTTTTTGAAAAATGTATAGTTAAAAAGTAGAGAAACATTTTGAGTTTACATCTAAAATTATTTTATTTAAAAATGTACGTAGTTAAAAATAAGTTTGTAAAAAATGGAGATCAAAGCAAATGCTTAGTTTAATTTGATGTTAAATGAATATTGAAAAATTAACGAATATTAAAATAACTTCTTCATTAATATAAATTTTTAATAGGATATATCGATATTATGATTTTTTATTTAATTATTTTAATTTTTGATTCGACCATTTCACTTTGATCATCTTCTGTTTTCCAGATCAATGCTCAAGTTGATTTTCAAAACAATAGTTTTAATGAAAAGGAGTATTACTGAAAATGTTGTAGATGGGTATTTTTAAGCTTTCTGGAGAAAATTAGGGTAATTTTGATGTTAAAACTGGGCTTTGCATTATTAAATGCACTGGCGGACCTGGGGGGTGACCTGGGGGGGGGCACGTGTCCCCCCAGGATTTTGGGAAATTATTTATTATTATTATTATTATTTTTTTAAATGCAATGAAAACAAAGAAATTATAAGAGAGTCCTCAACCTATTCACTTCTTCCATTTCTCCCGTCTCTCGAACTTGACCGAAGCTCCCGCTCAATTGCTCCTCTCCAAAATCGCTCCAGCCTCCAAGCCCTAGCCTCTACTCCGGTCACCCGTCGGTCATCTGACTAACCTCCAAGCTCTCTTAGACAGTCAGTCTCTCCCAACTCTCACTAGGCACTGGATTCGCTGCGTTCACCACTCCACAGACCACTCCTCCGCTCCGTCTCCGTGCCTCCACTCCACAGACCACAGTCCACTCCTCCGCTGCTGGCAGTCTGGCACCACTTCGCCCCTCCACTCCTCTGGCCTCTGTGAGCATTCTCGGTCTCCGGCACTCACGTGGGTAATTTTTCCAATTTCCACCACTCTCAGTTGATGT